CATTTCACCTTTAATATGAGAATTGTCCTCCATGTATTCCCCATTACAACCTACACCACCACTTGTAGGACAGAATGGCTTAGTTCAAGAGGGATGTTATTCTGCTGTTCGCAGAAACTGGCCTCGAATAGACAAAGAAACTAACATTTAGTATTATTTACTGAGTCAGTGAACTGTTTCAGTGCATTGCACATAGCAGCACTCTTACCCATTGCACCCATCTGTGCAAATGGCACCTTTGTACTGGGATGATATATGGTCATTCATGTGAAATGGGACTCTTGGCATATTATCATTTTTACCGCTGGGACTCCATGCCCATTACTTTTTCCTGCTTTGTGCAGCCATTAAACTTGCTGCTGCTTCCCTTCTAGAATCATGATGGGCCCCTTTATGTCTCCCCAGAGCTGTTTCTCTGGCATAATGGATAGGCAGCCTCCTGTAATTTCAAAGGTTATCCCAGTGCTCTGACTAATTTTGCTTTTCCCGTTGTTATTGACAGGGCAAGAGGAAATGAGTACCAAGGCCATCAAGGTGTCCGCAGACACTTGCTCTGGTCTAAGGTATAGAAGCCCAGCTTTGTGTTCAACAGGAGTAGGTTGCTTAAGCATAATTAGGAAAGGAATTGAAAAACAAAACTGCCAATATCATATTCCCTTTTTTACAATGATATGGTATATGGTACTAATTACTGCATCAAAATAGGATATTGCAGTGTTGGGAAAAGTGCAATAGCTTATAACATCTGAGAGGTGTGTGAGTGGGTGAGTGAGAAGAGACAGGACAGGGCTGTACAAAATTATGTGTGGCGTGGAGAAAGTGAATAGGGAGACACTTTTCTCCCTCTCTCATAATACTGGAAATCGGGGTCATCCATGCAGCTGTTTGGTGGAAGATTCATGAGAGATAAAGGAAGTACTTGTTCACATAGACTATAATTAAACTATGGACATCACTTCCTACACAAAACCATGAGCACCTTTTTCATGTACATCTGCATTTGCCCTTCTGGAGTGTTCAGTTCCCCTGCAAAGTTCCTTGCAATTCCAATGAGATTTCAGTGGTATTTCAGAGAGGACCATGGAAATGACATGGAGCCTTATGGCTAATGGGGCAGGATAAAAATCTAATAAATAATAATAAAATAAATGTTGCATAGCTTACTTGCTTACTTGCATTGATCTGTGCATTGATTGGCATCAGCTTTACTCCTAAGGACAAAGCAGTCTTGAGCCTGTAAGTGTTTGATGAGATGAGTGGAAAAGAACTGCTCCTCTATCCCATTTTGCCTAGGAAATTACAGTGGCTAGACTGCAGCATGTAATAACTTGGTGGAATTCAATGTGGTGATGGCTTCTAGTATATACAGCTATAAGCACATTAATGGAGGAGAGTTCTGTCAGTGACTACTGTGTGGAGCAACAGGACTTTCCCTTCCCCAATCCTCTACACACTTCCCAAATCTGCTCTGGAGGAGTCTTCCCAAACCTCCAGGAAAGATCTGGGGCCTGCAGGGAGGACAGAGATGATGTTTGGGTGTAGCTAACTAGAGGTAGAGCCTTGAGTCACTGGGAGGCTATTTCCCCTCCAACTCTGCTGCTCACACATGCTTCGCCTCCTGCTAAACCGCTCTTAAATCTTGTCTGCTTCCATTCCCCCCCCCCCCCCCCGAAACTAAATGCTTCCCTCTCCTTGGTCCATACATTGCCTTTAAAAATAAGTTTGTCCTTTGGAGACAAGATCCTTTGAAGGCATTTACATATACAGAATAGAATATTTATCTATTTATTTGATTTATTTGCCACCCTATTAGCCTCAAGGCTCCCTGGGTGGCTTACAACATAATTAAAACAACAATACAATGAAATGTGTGATTTATAATAACCCAATAATAACAATAAAATCATTAAATATAATAACCAATAAAATAAGTAAGACTATGATATAAATGAATAAATATAACATAAGGTCAAAAAAGATAAAAGGGGACATATTAAACCAATTAAGGTATAATTAATTAATAGCATATCTCTACCATAAATTCATAAAAATGGCAGCAGCACTTGATGATTAAAAATAATTAAAAATGGTCATTAAATCACAAGCCAACAGATTCACCCACCAAAATAGCAACAGAATAAGAACGTATTTAGATGGCATCTTAAAGAAAAGAGAGATGGTGCCAGGCTGTTGTCCAGCAGGATTAATTTCTATATAGTCGAGGTACTATGATGGAAAACATATGCAATGTTTTTTTTTTATTTTATTTTTAGTCCTGCTCTCTGTGCCTGAGCCCCAGGGAATCTTTTTGGTACTTAGCATCTCTGTGGGAAAGGGGACATGGTCAGACACAATCCATGATTAATACATGTAACGTCTAGGCACCGGAAGGAGTGGGTGCAGTAACTGAATTCCAGCTCTGAGGAGCAACAACAACAGGATGGAGGTGTATTATTTACAAGTTGTGCTTGTGGACTCATAGATATCTAGTTGGACAGTGTGGGAACCAGACTGATAGACCAGATGGGCCTTTGATGTATTCTGACAGGACTCTTCTTACTTTCTTCCTTGTGAGGAAAGGCTCTTGCTTGTTAAATGAGGTGTTCTGGGTTCTTTCCAACAACAGATTAGATGTACACTCAAGTAAACACTCCAATCTGCATCTTCACATGACAAGCTGGAGTGCTTACAAGGAATTTCTCTTCCACCCTTCAAGTATATGGAGTGTAAATACAAACATCTTAACTATTCATTTTATAAGCCCCCTTGAACAAATTAGAAAGGTGGCAGAGATGGAAGAGAGGGGCAGGAGGTTACAGGGACCGAAAGGAGTTAAGAAAGAGGTGCTGGGTGTGGATTCAAGGTAACACACTGATGGTGACATGTTGCTGAGAGGAGTAAGTAAATACATGTGTGTGTGTGTGTGTGTGTAAATAATCAGCATTACTAGGTGTCTTTAAGAAGAAATTGGATGACCATTGGCAGCTAGATTAATTGAGGTGGACTCTGTTTATGAAGCAGAAATTCAGCCCAGTGAGGGCTGTTGACCTATTAAGGAAACTTTACTTCATTAATCTTCTGTCTTTTAATAAAACAGCCATCCAATTTATTTATATCATTTTGCATCATGCAAAAACCTCAGTGTTGGGCAATCTTTTTGAGAGAGTGTATTGAACCTGGGACGTAAAATCCAGGCCTGGCTCTTTGGTTCCTAAAGTTTAGGCCTTGCTTGGCATTAGTGCCATGCTGCACAGGAACTTTGTCTACCTAATTAAAGTAGTTAAAGTTTTCAGGTCCTAAGGAAGACTGAAGGACTAAACACGCAACTGTGTTTGGCCTGGGATTCCACCTTACTGAACCAGCTAAGGTGCTTCTGCTTGGGGTTATTGATTAGTTTAACAAGCTTATGCCTTGTTGTAAGCTTGGCTTAATTGGCTTATTTGGTATTACATCCTATTATGTTGATGCATGGAGTGGGAATATTTGTATTGGCCGTGATGGGAAACAGCCACTGTTATGGCTGGTGACACATTAACAAGATGGAAATCTTTAGGTCCTATGGAGTCCAATGGTGGGAAGCTGCATTCGGTATACATTTGGGTGTGCTTATGAGGTAAACAGGTAGCTTCACACTGCTTAGTCCCTGCTCCTGTGTAACAACCAGCCCCTTTCCTATGAGTAGTCTATAAAGACTAACCGTCACACAACACACTGGCCCTGTGATGCTCTGTCATAAAATAGTGGAAAATATTTATATTCAAATCCTGTAAGGTGGGTGCAGTTTGTACACGAAACACCCTCAAGTGGGCTTCCCTGACCATCTGTTTCCAGCTGACTGGAGTCTCCTAGCAGGCTTGCTCATGCTGAGCACTCTTGCTTGCTAAAAGCTAGCTCTTCAGAGTAGGTTGCTTGTTCTTTCAATAAGCAAATCTGGACCTGGCCTACTGATACCTTGGGGTCACTCAAACCTTTAGCCCACAGTGGGGTCAGGACACAGAAATAGAAGGACAAAGATTGAAGGAAGGATTAAAAAGCATAATTATTTTTTAAAAACCAACCAAACAAGCAGCTCTTGTTCTTAGAAGAAAAAGCCACATTTAATATATTGTCATTTAGTCCCTGTTTCAGCAAAATAGCCTGCAAAATTAAACAAGGGGGTTTTCAATGTAGCAGAGCTCCATGAATTGAAATTAACCATCCCTCATCAACTAAGCAAAGTGCTAGTTGATTACTCTATCAACTGAACAGATTAAAGCTTCTAACTTTACTTTGGATCTCTATATCCATTGCTAGAGATTAAGATAGATATTCTTGGGGTTTGGTGTATGTTTTTTCCTGAAATATCTCTCTATACTGGGAAGCTTTCTGCTGCTGGACTTCATGATATTCTAAGTATGTTCACGATCATGTAACTAGGAGTGCCTCCCTACCAATGGCTCCTAGTATTACCAGCTGAAAGACATTGTATGGCTTTCCCTTCTAAATGGATGTTTGTGGTAAGAAAGAAGGTGGAAGAAAACACAGGAGGATTAGAGGTGGAAGATGTAATTGTCTGGGCTCCCATAAAATTCTGGAATGAGGCAGATTGATTGCACCATAAAATCTGGAAGCACTCTAGGAAAGTATATGATTCTTTTAAAGAAGCATTTTAAGCTGGGTCTGGGACCCTCACACTACACACTGGCCCTGTGATGCTCTGTCATAAAATAGTGGAAAATATTTATCTTCATTTTCAAATACTGTAAGCTGGGCCTCACCTTACAAAGAAGATGTAGAGCACAAACCAGACATGGCTTCTTGCTCTTAACTCACCTTTGATAGTGAACAACTCCATTCCTAAAAGTTTGACACAATTCTTACAGAGGAGGAGATTAGCCCTTAGGTTACCACAGAAAGATGAGGAGGAAGAGATGGCATTTTCAAGGTTTACATGTAATGCTCGTTATTGATAGAAAACGTAAAGTCCTGACCAGAGTCAACTTTCTCTATCTGCCTTTCAGACCCGAAGCTCCCGGCACTCACAGGGTTCTCAGCCTGGCCTGGCCGATCAAGCCAAACTCTCCTTTGCTTCAGCAGAGTCTCTGGAAACCATGTCTGAAGCTGAGCTGCCCATTGGGTTCAACAGGATGAACCGCTTCCGGCAAAGCTTGCCTTTGTCCCGTTCCACCAGCCAAACAAAACTCCGATCTCCAGGTAAACTCCTTTGGGAATTGCTACTCAGAAGTCCCTGGGTAGCAAACACATCCCTGATTTTAGACAAAAGACCTTCCTCTTGCTTTTTGTGCATGAAAGTAGATCTTTCTGTTGTGAAGTCTCTCCTATGGTGCTCTCAGAAAGGATCTGCCATTGAAGCTGTTTTGCTTTAAGCTGCTGTTGAAGCACACCTGCACTCAGGTGTGTGCTCTTTCTAGCTGGGTAGGCAGTGTGATTGCCTCATCATCTGAAGGACATGATTTTGAGCCTCACAGAGTACATGTGTCCATACGCCTTTTAGAGGAGGAGCCATCACATGAAGGAAGACCCCAAATTTAATCTTCTGTTTCTCTCACTACAAGGATCTCAGATAAGATCCTTTCTCATCCTTGTGTGCCTCAGCTGTGTCCCTCTACAACATTTAAGACATTAGTGACCATGATAGCTCGAGGTGATAGGACTTGTAGTCCAACACATCTTGGAAGACACAAGGCTTGGTAATACTGCCTTAGTTAGACACTGCTGGCCAGAGCAGACTATGAAGGGTTAAAGGTGACCAGGGATCTTGCTTAGTGTGAGAACTACTTCATACAAATTACATATATGAATTTACTTTTTGTCTTCATAACTTGCCTTTTAAAACATACATAAATGTACATACACTGTGCAGTTAAAAATGAAGTGCTCTTCTACATGAGGCTTTTAACCCACAACTTTACTAAGTTGTCTGTTTCCAGGTTGTTTTGTTTTGTTTTGTTTTGTTTTTGTTGAGGTTAGGATTGGTTCCATTATATGTGACTTTTCCAGGGGGTTTCTTTGTCTGCCTTTTTATATATTCCATCACACAACCATTAGATGGTGCTGTGGTATCGCAAAATTAGGCAATGGCACTGGGATTTTATGCCATCATTCATAAAAATACTGGACTTTCCTAATTAGAAAACAGGCCCCACTATAATGGTTGCAAAGCACAAGGAAAAGACCCTGGAGAATGACAACATTGTGTAAAGCACCTGTAAATTACAATGAGTCAGGAATCATGAGCTCACAATAATTGCCTCCTATAGAAAGGCTCTAATTTTATTTTATTTTATTATTTTCTAACTAGGAAAGAGACCAGAATGTCACTTCTCAGGAATTAAAAACATATTTAGTTCTCTCTGAAGGCCATGGAGAAATGGACTTGGGTGGAATTCTTTAGACTGTCAGAGGCCTGATTCATATGTTATGAAGTTGGGAAAATTCTGCTTTATCATTGATAAACAGAATATTTGTACACACTGCCTGCAAGTGAGAACAGCTAAGCAAATCTTGGACCTCTGCCTGTGGTTTGTTTACCATTATGCATGGACTAGAAATTCTGGCTTGGCTCTTCTCCAGTATAGCAGAGTCATTGTTACTGGTTTATGACTCTAGGTTGTTGGGAAAGAAAAAGCTGGAATTCCCATTTCACATGTAATGCTAAACAACATGACATGTGAATAGGCAAAGAAATGAAACACTTAGTAAACCACTCCTGACTTGACATTTCAGTGTGGGGCTTCTTTTTGGAGCTAGATGGTTCTGTCATTCTGAAGCTATGAATATATTTTAACCATGTATCCTTGGAAAGAGTCCTGCATTACTCAAAAACTCACAGTTGCATTGTTGCCAAAGTTGGCTGATTCTCAGTCCTGTATATCTCTTGTCCTGTTTCCTTTCTGCCCCTGCCTTCCCCTGGCATAATCTTCAACTTTCTCTAGGCATCCTTTTCCTGCAGTTTGGAGATGAGACGAGACGGGTTCACATCACCCATGAAATCAGCAGCATGGATACTCTGCATGCCCTCATCGTCCACATGTTTCCTCAGAAGCTGACAATGGGCATGCTCAAGTCCCCCAACACTGCCATCCTGATCAAGGATGAGTCCCGCAATGTATTCTATGAGCTGGAGGATGTCAGGTGAGCAGTATACCTTGCTGAGGGCAGTAAATCTTTGGTGAATAGTGAACAGAGCACATCTTAGAGAGAGATGCCATGGCTGAGTGGTAGAGTACCTGCTTCTGAACATGGACCTAGACATAATCTGCAGTCAAAGTCTGTAGATTTCTATGTTTGCAATGTGATTCACAGACCAAAAAGTATACTTCTGGAAAATGTACATCAAAAATGCATTCAAATATACTTTAATCAACCAGAGTAGAATGTATGCATTTCAACAATGCATAGAATTAATTGGGAAAAAGAAACATGAATTTTCATGCAAAAGGGGAGAGAAAAACAATTGTTGTCATCTGATAGAGACTCAAGACGAAACAAGCTTTGAGATGGAATTCAAAGAACTTTGATGAGCTTGAGTTTTACTGTATCACACATCCCTAACTCATTCCAATTTGTCTACATCTTTCGTAAACTGCAGCTCCCAGAAATTGACACAGTACTTCAAATGAAATCTCATTAATGCAGAATAAAATGCTGTTTTTTCTTTTCACTTCAGGAGAATTGTAAGAGCCTAAGTAGAGGGATGGGTAGGAAAGTATTATCCTTGTTATAAATATATATGCCTCTTTCAATAAATGATTTATTAAAAATAAATTTCAGCTAGATAGCTGTTGTTATATTTAGTTCTGGTTTTCTATTTTTTCCTATTCACTTTGTTAAGAATGGGCCCTCCTGGATCATACCATCTGTCCCAGTCTCCAATATTGGCTAGGCAGAAGCTTCTGGAAAATTCGCATGCTAGGCAGGAAAGCATCAGTCTTCCCCTGTTACTTGTTGCCAACATTTCTATTCAGATGTCTACTGCCTCTGAACCTGGAAGCTTGATCACATTATTATGGCTAATATTTATAAGCCAGTAACCATCACTGCCTCTTGTGACAACTGATTCCATCAATTAATTAATTGTTGTGTGAAGAATCACTTCCTTTTGTCTGCCCATAATCTAATGACAATCAATGAAATTGGGAGATGCTGCATTTTCGTGCTATGTGAGAGGAAGGAAAATGTAGTTCTGGCCACTCTCTGCTTTATACAGAGTTCTTAGCCACGTCTCTCAAGTTGCTTCTTAGTCATCCTTGTGTTATCAGTCCTTCTATAAACCTCCCCAGCATATCTTCCCTCCAAGCCTTTTTGATAGATCAGAAAGCAGCCACTTTTCTGCCTTTGGGAGAATTTTTGTTTGTAGTCTTACAGGATCCTTTGATGTGAACTTTGGGGATTCAATCCCAACCTTATGAGCAAGTGCCAAAAACCAGGGATGTGTGTAATTCATACAAAAAGTGCTGCACCCCAGCACAAAACAAAACAAAAACCCATCTGTGTGCAACAGCCACAGGAAGAATTGTGTGGACAAATCCACCTTTCTTTATGCTCAGGCTACAGAGTACTGTAGAGTATTTGCAAATTCCAAATGTGCAGGGTGCAGGATGCTGATCTGCACCTGCATGAAGGCCTCTAGCAGCTGGCATGGGCCCCTGACATCATCAGGTAACCTCTGTGCATCTCTGTCTGTTCCTTTCATGGTAGTGCTTTATCCAGTCCTTGGAATAAGAACCGATAATTAATAACAACTTAAGTCTTTTGCCTTTGTTTTCACAGGGATATCCAGGACAGAAGCATTATTAAAATCTACCGGAAAGAGCCCCTGTATGCCTCCTTTCCTGGGTCCCACATCACCAATGGTGACTTGCGGGTAAGAGTAGTGAGTTGCACAGGGGCTGCCAAGGAACAGTCATCATCTTCCCCAGAATGTGGTGGTAGGTGAAGGGGACAGATTGCTAAGGACCTTTCCAGCAGTGGCTGTGATGCTGCTCTTCTGGCAAGGAGTATATTTCTACAGATGTGCAGCCTCATAATCTTCACACTTGGTCTCAGTCCTACTTTCTGAAAGCCTGGAGCATACCAGACTAGCAAAGGGAGAGGGAAATTCCTTGTAGTCTGCAGACAACAGGTTTTGAACAGGTGTATGCTTTCTCTGCCAGACCTCCAAAAATATGATAGTAAAAGCCTGGGGTTCAATCCAGGATTGTCACTTATTCTTTCTCCAATAATGGGCAGACTGGCATGCTAATGTTCTCTTCTTCTCTGACTTCTTTTCCCTCCAGAGAGAGATGGTCTACACTTCCAGGGAGTCCTCTCCCACTCGGCGCCTAAACAGTATGTCCCCTGCTTCCCACCTCACTTCTGGCTCCCCTCCACCAGTGCTTCAGTCATCCTCGCCATCCCGTTCTCGTATGTCTTACAGTGGTGGGCGTCCACCTTCCTACGCTGGCAGCCCTGTGCACCATAGTGAACGCCTCTCCAACTTGCCTCCAGCCCAAGGTGTCTCCCCAAGTCCCAGTGCTATCTTGGAACGCCGGGATGTCAAGCCTGATGAAGATCTGGCTGGGAAGAACATGGTGTTGGTGAAAAATGAAGGCCTGTACGCTGACCCCTACAGTATGGTGCACGAGGGACGTTTGAGCATTACATCCACTCAGTCATTGGCTGGGATGGGGGATCCCTTTGCCTACCCTGGGGGCCTCTATAAACGGGGCTCTGTCCGTTCTCTCAGCACCTATTCAGCTGCCGCACTTCAGTCAGAACTGGAAGACAGCTTATATAAACCCAATGCACAGATCTATAGCGATACCTATGGTCCAGGAATGGGCTTTCGCTTACCCCCGTCATCCCCCCAGAAAATTGCTGATGGCCGACTGGTGGACGTTCAGCAGAGCCAAAGCCCCCACAGCCCTTACTCAGGGCCTCCAAGCCGGTCCTCACCGGTGCGCCAGTCTTTCCGCAAAGATTCTTGCTCTTCAGTCTTCATGGAAAGCCCTGTCAACAAGCCACGGAATCCCAGCTCTTCAGGGCCTCCAGAGCTGTTTCCTGGACCTGAGCGTCCCCTTTCTGGATTCAGCTCACCAGTGCCTGCTAAGGATACAGAAACAAGGTTAGATGTTCTGCCTGCCTGCCTGCATATGTGATGGACACTGTGTGTGTGCATATGTGAGTGACTGACTGAAGGCTGATGTGTGTGTTTGTGTGTGTGTGTGTGTGTGTGAATCAATGAGGGAGGGAGGGAGGGAAGGAGGGTGAGCTGGGGTGAAAGAGTATTTGTGTATGGATGGTGACTTAGATTCAAAGAGATAAGGGAGAACAATTAGTTGGCTCAGACTCTACCTCTGCCTTGAATTCAGTCTTTTGAGCACATTTTTTGACTTTTGAGACTAGTCACTTCTCCCATGCCAGCTGTTTTGCCATATTGTCCAAGACAAAATGCCAGATGTGCCCAAAGGTTGCCTGCTTCACCCTCACTCTTGCCTAATTTCTTCTTCCAGTCTGTTTTCATTGGATGTTCCTTTCTCACCTTTTCTGCAAACTCTTTTTCCTTTTCTGTTTCAAATTTGCATCCTTACTCCATGCCTCTTTTTTTTAGTTCACTTCTCTACTTTATGGATGCTTTTAAGCTTTTGGCTATCCAGCAGGCCCAAAAATCACACAGCATCTCCTCTCCTTAGCCCCGTTTGAAGTATTTCTTTCATCTAAGTTGTCACAAGGAAGTGGCTTGTCAACATCCTTTTGCTGACCAGGTTGCTCCTGTACTACCTTTTTCACAGAATTTGGCATTTTTGTTCACTTGCTTTTTATGGTACAGATTATGTTGCTGACAAACTGTTGAATCAGATTATTTTTTGTGTTGTGCTCCTCTACTTTTTCAGACCTGATTTATGTTGATTTTTTAAAATTAAAAACACAGTTGCAGCTGTTCAAGGTCAGTGTGTAGAGTCACAGTGTTTTTGATGCTGTTCAGGGCACCGTATCTTTAAATTAGGGGTAGGAAACTTAGAGCCTTTCAGATGTTGTTTGACTTCAACTGTTGTCATTCCCCACTATTAGCCATGCTGTCTAGGGTTGCTAAGAACAGGAACTCAGCAACATTTGGAGGTCCACAGGCTGCCCACCCTGATTTCACACACCCCTGCCTGCAGATTCTCCCCCTGCCTGCAGATTATTTTCTCTGAAAATAATTCAGACAGCTAAAACAATTTCAGTATGATACTAGACCTCAACAGCTAACATAAATTCCCTATTATATGTTCTTAAATTCTGTTAGAGACAATCCTATGAAAGTCTACTTGGAACTAAGTCCTACTGTGCTCAATGGTGCTTACTCATAAAAGTGTGTAAGATTGCACAGTTAATGTCTATTCCTGTTTCTGCACAGGCTTTACTTACTGTTTTCTTCCCATTATTTCTTCCAACCCATGTTTATAGAGCAAAATAATGCTGTTTTAATAAATAAAAAAATAAAAACATGAGAAGAAGGCAGAAATTTAAGTCTCTTCCCCTTTGTGAGAAAAGTAGCTGAAATTAAGGGACAATTAAATGAGACTACTCAAGGGCCAATTAAGGGATAATTCCTCACGACTTTCCCAAATGTAATCAACAATAAGCAATAGAATGGAAAGAATCTAGAAGCAGAAAACTTTTAATTTGACATCAGAAATGGTTTTGCTGAATCTGTTCTTGTTTCTGTGTAGATGTTAAAAAGGATTTTGGCCATGGGGATGGGATTTCTGGTCACCTAATGCTATATTACAAACTTTGTTGGATCTCTATTTTAATTCCTTGTCCCTGTGATTGTGGAAAAGCAATGCCCCAGCAGCACTAAAGGGCTGAGAAAACAGCTGCTTTCACCCTGAGAAGCTGGAATGGTCCTGTCCCTTCCGTGATACCATGGTGGGTGGCCTCCTTCCCCCATTCTCTTTAGGGGACTGGCTAAAGATTTACACTGGCAAATTAGATAGCAAGAGAATGTGTGCCTTATCTCGTGTTTAATCTCCAAGTGACTACATCTCCACAGCCAGGATGGTTCTTGAGCTGTCAGCTGAGTTGTTGGGGAAATGGTAGGAACAGAGCTCATTAGAACAACAAAAAGATAGAAAGAAAGTAATGATTAGGAACAGCAAGAGAGAGTGAGCGAGCGCAGGGGCTGAGGGGAGTGAAAGGCAAGCAGGAGAGGTCAAAGGAATGACAAGCGTGGTCCTGTCAGGAGTTAATGTACCGGAAAGTGTGTGAGAGAAATTTCTCTTCAATGCGGAACCTTCAAGGAAGGCTGACTAAGGAGGGCCTTTGGGATGGACATATTCTAAAGAGAGTAGCCAAAGACGCAAAGCCACATTTTGTACCAGGTTTTGTATCATATATGAGGAAGCTGATTTCCCCCTTCCCTTCCCCTATCTGAGGTGACCTCTGCCACTTCAGGGGCTATGACCTTCAAACAGAAGCAGTCTGTCACCTCACATTAGCCAGACAGCACTGACCTTAACAGGATATACAAATTTTATTGGCTTAGTGGCTGTTTATATGAACAGGCTGGGGATGGCATTTGATTCCCTTCTAGAATTGGACCCACCTACCTAAAGAGCTTATTTCTTTCCTCTTCACAAGTCTCTGCAGTTTCTCAGATGGACTAATGCCTACACTGCATATTTGGGGGAGAAAACTAGGTGCTGCTGACCTGTATCTTCCCCATAGCTACATTTTACTTGACAAAAGGCAAACATCCATGTTCGGAAAATGAGTTTACAGGGTCAGGTAAACCATCAGAAGTGTCTGTTTTATTATGAGTGTCTGTGAGTGGACCCCCCTCCCCCCCCACACACACATTCCCATTTCAGTTTGCTAAAACTGTTTGACTTCCCCTTTGATCTGACCTTATTTATGCTGTTGCCTTTTGTTGTGATTTTCCCAAAAGCATTTGCTTGGCCATTGTGGAAAAACAGAAAACTGAGAAAGAGGGACCTTTACTCTGATTCAACTGGGCTGTTCTTTTGTTCTTTCATTTCTTATGTCCTCAGGAAGCTCATTTTGCTCCATTGCTCCTTGGTTTTCATTGTACACTGAAGACACTGCTCTTCCAGAGGGCTTTGGAGTGGCATGATAAGAGTTTTCTCAGATGCTGAGGTGTTGCCTTTTAAATGTAATCTATCTGCAGTCCCCCACTCCCCTGGGAGATCATGTTATTTATTTTCTAGTATTTTACTTGATAAGGTGATTTTAGCATCCTGGCTTTTCTGCAGGCCAACTGGGATACTCAAGAGACAGGGCTGTATTAAATACAGATGCATTTAACATGAGATACATTTTTTATTATTTTTATGTCCACTCATGCTGCCATGCTGCTACAATAAGGGTGGGAAACGTGTGGCTTTCCAGATGCTGTATGACTGCAGTGCCTCTCAGACCTTGCCAGTGTAGCTGAATGGTGAGGGATGGTGGGAATCAGTGGTGTGAGGTCCAGATCTGTAGGGCAACCCTCCCCATTTTTTCATTTGTTAATTTATATGCTCTTTAAAGCGGGGGGGGGGGGGAGTATGTGTGTCTTTAAAGGACCCTATCTCCATAGGGCACTCCAAGTTGTAAAAAGGGATGTATGGAAATGGGAGAGAGGGACTTTGATTTTGGGGGTGGGGGAACCCTCAGGATGGATTTAAGGGAGGTAGCAGAAGGGGAAGCATATCTTGGCAACGAGCCAGGGAGATTAAATGCAACAGAGATAATCAGGGCCTGCCTACCTTTATTTCAGCAACTGCCCATGAATAGTAGAATGAGGGGATAGGTGGCATTCCAGAAATCCAGGGTTTCAGATGAAAGATTCAGGGCTCCAGCCTTAGTAGGCCATTTCCAAACACCACCACAGATGGGAGTTGCAGTCCAGCATCTGGAGGGTCCCACATTCCCACCCCTGTACTTGGCAGAGAATATCAGGAGAAACACATGCTCTACCCATCCCATGTTTCATCTGATGCTCTTTCCTCTTTTCATTAAGGGAACGCATGGAAGCCATGGAGAAACAGATTGCTAGTCTCACAGGATTGGTACAGAGTGCATTGATGAGAAGCTCTGATGCAGAAAACCCCAGGTATGATTGTGGAGGGTGGGAGCAGGTAATGCATGTTCATTCTACTCTTCTCTTGGCATTGGCAGAGATGATGGGGTTGTCTATTGGTTAGGTCTTTCTTTGGTGAGTGTAAAACAGAGTGTTACCCAGCTATAGGTCCAGCAGATGATTCAGCTTGGGCAGGTTCTGCTCTTGTATTAGCCAAAGTTGGGCTATAATGGTTAAAAGTGTTGTACTTTGGGCAGAGAAATAAGTGCTTGAATCTCCACTCAGCTGTGAAACTAACTAGGTGGCTGGTGGGGTGGGTGGGTGGGTGGGGGTTAGTTGCAAAAGGAAGACAGGAATCCCACGATTTTGATAGTACTGTAGAAGAAGAAATTTCAGCACATGTAATTGGATGAAAAGAATACTGGTTTACTTGTGGAAGTATATAAAATGCCCTTTTAAGCACAATCCTATGTGCGTTTAGAGAAAAAAAATGGCCTACAACTGCCAGCATGCCCTGCTGTGAATTGTCAGACTTTTCTGTTTAAACAAGTGTAGGACTGTATCTTTGTCAGCAGACCTTTCCACTAACTAGATTTTTTTACTAAGTTCATCTTCCGTATATACACCAAGCACACACACTTTTATAGTGTTGATTTTACCATATCCACCTCCTCCCCATCATAATAAGACTGGAAATGTCTTTTTCATGTATAATCCTTGCTTTCTGTCACAGTGAGAGAACAGAAGGAACGAATGGAGGAACACCTCCATCAGCAGGTGAGTAAAGATCTTGCCTTTATGTGCTCATGGTTGCCTTATCACAGACAGGGAAGTGATCTTATGTGCACCAGTGGAGCAGTAGAGCAAGAAGTGCAGTGGTTACACCTTCTCTTGTTGTTGCAGCTATGCCTAGGTCAAGTACATATTTATCTTGACAAAATTTGGGATTTGGGGCAGGTGGGTGTCCACAAAAGCACAACATTCCTTTCTTTCTTTCTTTCTTTCTTTCTTTCTTTCTTTCTTTCTTTCTTTCTTCACTGCCTATTCATGCATCTGGTGAAGGCAGCAATTTGGCTCGCTATTCTGTGCCATTTTTTCTTTGAGGTGTGACAGAATGAGAGTAGGAAGCATTGCCTTCAATCTGATTTGACTTCATGGTGATCAGTTTTGGCTGTGTGATGTTGCAAAACAAGTCAAAGTGAGAGCAATGTTTCTTGACTGCACAATGAATTGGCTTCATCACAAAGCCAAAGTGGGGTGAGGGGTTATGTGGCATAGCCCTTGTGTCAAACTCAACAGACAGGTTTTTTTATCGCTTCACATGACCTCAGACTGACTGATTTTCACTGGAGGAATTTAATACATTTGGCTGTGCACCATTAAGTTGGTAAATCATTGAAAGGCGGACATTGATGTTTGAATCAGATCATAATAAGGAGGAAAGAGAGTTGAGGAGTTTTAAAGTGATAGCTGCAAGTTTGAAATCGATCTAGATTTCATGAAACTGCGTGGTTTTTATTGTGCCCATAAGCTATTTCAGACTACTTTGACTAATTAAAATTCTTTGGGCATGAAAATACAGGTCCCCTATTTCCTTGAAGTGCTGCTTGTACTGTAGAAAAAGAATAACAAACAGCCTGAACTGGCGATGAAACTGGCAGTTTTTCTTAGCCACGATTCTTTCTGGATACAAAGTAAAAACCTTACAGTGCAATCCTATGCATGTTTAGACAGAAAAAAAATGCCCTCTGACTCCCAACAAAAGCCTCCAAGCTCCCAACTGTGGAATGCTGGTGTGGTAGGACTTCTTACTGCTTAAGAAGCATGAGATTGCCCTTACATTCTTTGTATTGGAAATCAGAGAGGGAAAACCATTCAACTTTAAACTGCAAGTCCAAAGAAAGGACTGTGATGATGTGTGATTCTTTCTGTAAATAAGGATTGTCAAAACTATTGGATCTTTGCTGTCATTTCTCTGTTAGCTCCCAGCAGAAGCACTGTAGGTACCCCAGTTCCTGGACCTCCACCATCATCCACAACTGGTACACCTGCTGGCCAGCCCACTGCTATCACTCGCCTGCACATGCAGCTTCATCTTCATGACTTACAGCAGAATGCTAGTGACCTCCGCAACCAATTGCAGCAGTTGAAGAAACTACAGGTAAGCTGGAGTTGGAGAAGAGCTGTTTTTATGCTGCCTTCCATTGTGTGCATTAACAAGAAATACAGCTGCTTTTTTAGAGCTAAATTCCTAGTCCTTGCAATTGAAAATCAATGCTTAAAAGTGAATGGAGGCATTTGCTGAAATCTCTGAAGCCAGACAGGTGACTGAATTCAACTTTCATTCAGCAATGGTTCCCTGCATGATTCTGTGCTGCTCCCCAGGACTAGCAGAACAAGAATCACTTATGTAAAATAGCTGGGCAGTTAAATCCTATTGCTGTTCAGCGAAGTCTAGATGGCCACAGGATTTTCCGGAGTCCCAGCTCTGACCTCAGAAAAGTATTCCTGGGTTGGAGCTGGAACTCTGAAGTCAGAGCACCCTGTTCCTGTCCTCACAGTTGGCACAGAAAGCGCTGTGCTGACTGCCAAGCCAAGGCTGCAACAGCAATCTCGGGGACAGACTTGCAAAGTATCCCGGTGGTGCTTGTCCTCCTACTCACCTGCTCCCAGGCCAAACGCTTAGACAGCCAAAATGGGCTGTCTTGGCGTTTTGCATAGCAGAAGAAATGTCTCCTCATTCCTTCAGCAATGTATAAAATGTCTGTAATCCTTGGAGTTCAGAGTGTTACAGGCAACCTCATTAGACTGTACCCTAAAATGTTGCGAATTGATAAACATAGGTCTATAAAGTGCAAAATAAACAATCCTGGACTGTTTTAAACTAAGCATGATTTCTGGCTAAATTTTGTAAGGGTTAAACAGATGGTACAGGAGTTTTTTCCACACTGCAAAATGTACTTGTCTTCCATAGTTCTTTCACAGGCCAAAGCAAACTTACTCACTGATACTAACCCACCCATCTCCATAGCATCCATTCCACCCTTCCCCATCCCCATAAATGCCCCAACATTTTTCTATACATTATCTGTATGTTTTTGTTTTGTATAAGTGTAAAGAAAGGGTGCAAACAAATTCAGTATGGAGAAGGGCTGCCACTCAGTGGTAGAACAAATGCTTTGCTTCTCAAAAGTCCCTGGTTCAATTCCTGCATTTCCAGGCAGATCTGGGAAAAATTCCTACTTGAAAACGAGGAAAGCTGCTGACAGATAACAGATACTCAATTAAAGGGACTGATAAGCCAACTTAATATAAGACCATTTCCTATATTCCTATTTCTTCTAAGGCTTCATTTCAGTTGGGGATAATGTGTTTCCCTCATTTTTTTTTTGAAGCAAATTTTATTTGGGCATCTAGGAGAAAACAAATAGGATGCCCAAAAAGAGAGTAAATCTCGCTTTCTTTTTGATCTCTGTTTCTTTTCTCTTTTCTGTTGACTTTAATCCTCATTAGCAACACTCACCAAAACAAACCCCTCTTGGTGACGGGCGATACGATTTTGGAATATCTGGCACAAAATGCAAGAGCAGATGGCAGCTGTGTATCCAGCGCCAACGATCCATTCTTCTATCCCCAACTGCGGAAGGTGCCTATGTTTTCCTCTGAGTTGCTTAGCTCCAGAGATAATTAACAGAGACAGCTTGTTGGAAGCTGGAAAGCAGTGAACGGTGCAGGGCGGTGGAAAGCCGATTGGCTCATACCCCTTTGTCTCCCCTAGACACTTCTGAACTTTGGAAAGCCTGCCATATCTGGTTTCTGAACTGCCTTTTGCTATCAGTGTCAATTGTTTTCAGAACGCATCACTCAGTTGAGTGCTGGGGGAGCATCTTGGGTTATGGGTTATGGATGATACTCTCAGCAGTGCCCATGCCTTAAGCTAAGGCATGTATGGGTTAATTTGATTTTACAAGCTGTTGGCTCCATGGCCAAGTGGGTACTAGAACCCATATTGCCTGGGTCCTAGTCCCACACTCTTAACCACTATACCTCACTGACTCTCATAATACTGATTGTATTCAACCTATGTACTCATCCTTACCCTTCTCATCATCATTAGCCCTAGGATAGATTTCCCTTTCTGAAGCATGATGATGTTTCAGTTATTATTAATTTCAAAAAAGGGATGTAATTTGTTTCCTAGAAAATTGAAATAATTCCAGTATGTGCATATACTAATTCAATTCAGTTTGTATATGAAGAAAAAGGAAATGCTCTATAGACACCATATCCAATCTTGTACTCAGAATACAGTGTCTTGCTGTAAAGTGCTGGAGCATGGTGAGACTTGTAGGCCTTTGTTCTGGCTAATCATGCATAAATTGCTATTTAAAGGATTGAATATTGCCTCAAACATGACAAAAGTATGAAATTAAAAAAATAAAACAGGATACTTAATAGTCATCTCTTCCCTGTTTTCACATGCTAGAAAAGTGTGTGTGTGTGTGTCTGACTGTATGAAATTCTTGTGCATGTATATATATGCTAAGCACTAACTTGTGACATGGACTATAGATATGTAATGCACACAAGCCCAATTCGCATCATCTCCATTCTCTTTTCAGCATGTCATAATACTTTTGGGGCAAATACTAATGTAAGTGCAGATCAACCCTCTTTCATACTGCAATTTTCTGGGAATTTCCGCTGCACAAAACATGCTAGAAAGTAGTGTGTCTGGAGGTGTACATATCATGTAAGAGCCTTATTCATGCGCTGCGCGTGTTTGTTTTGATAGGGTTATAAAGGAGAACTTTGTGGTAGATTGTGCCTTAATGATGCATCTGAAGGGAGTCAGATTTGCCTAGTGAACATTGTCAGTTTTCATAATCTGCACATGTTGGCAATTTCATTCTGTAAAAATTCCTTATTGTCCCTGGCTGTCTATGGTGGAAACAAGGGCAATTGTTCAGTTTTCTCTCAAGTGGCTCTCAGCTAGCACCATGAGAAGTTGTCTGCTGCACTGGGGCACTGCAGGAAGCCACATCCCAAACCATAGCAAACTGGGCATAACAAGGGGCTGCAGACATACTGCTGCTCCCACAGAGAAACAATGCCACACATGCTAACTTGGAATGAATGGGGATCCCAACAGGGTTCAGCCCATGCTGAGCACATTTCTTACACACAAGTGTGTTGGAATTGAATCCAAAGTCTAAAGGGAAACAGTACCTAATTATTCTGGATACACCAACTGGATTGGATTATTCTGGATACACCAAGGCTGGATTGTGGTGTGCTTGTTCTCTAGCCTTTTCTCTGGTGGACTATGCCTGTAAAGCTTGATTTCTGTTTCTGTCACTGTCTTGCTCTTTTCAGCTTCAGAACCAAGAGACAGTGAAGACAATGCTGCGGCGGACAGAAACTGAGATCAGTGTGCGGGTGACAGACACTATGCGCAAACAGGAGGATCCCTTGCAGCGGCAGCGCACCATGGTAGAGGAGGAGCGCCTCCGCTACCTCAACGAAGAAGATCTCATAACCCAGCAGCTAAAGTGAGGATTTTGCAAGGGTTATGTGGGTATACTAAGGACGGGCAAATCTGGCAATTCTGCTTTCTCTCCATTTCTCATTTTTTAAAATCTTTGGCCGAGTTCATCCCAGTATTTGAGATTCCTTTTTTAATGTTGAATTTTGCTTTTGTATACATTTTTCTTCAACATATATACTTTGGAAGCAGTTTGCCTCATTTTATGCATTTTTAAACATTAATTTCACTATTAAGCACATTTTTGTGCACACTTATGCTTGTGTGCACACTTTTGTATGGCTTGATTTTATTAGAAAACCTCATTGCAAATTTGGATAAGTGTGAATTTTGATGGATAACTCAGTTTTACTTTATGTACTAATTCAGAAGTGTGAAATTGGATAAGTTTGCATTAAATTATATTGAGAGTGCAAACCTATGCACATTGTGGAACCTTGTTCTGTATAAACATGCATAGGATTCAACCTTTAATACATGTGAACTGAATAAATCTCCCTTCCCCATCCATAATCTCTACATGTTTTATCCAGGGCAAGTGCTGAGCGGAATGAGCAATAGAGTTAATTTTGTAGGTGGTGAAACTGGACAATAATGCCAAATCCTCCATTAATAAGAAAAAATTGTTTTGTTTCCATAAAACTAAGTAGAATAGATTTAGTAGAGAGCTTGGAGCAAAAAGAGGTTGAGAAGGGATTTAACAATTTTAATGTTTTAAATGTATTCAGTTACACTTGTAAAAAACAAGCATATGTTTATGCTATATTAGCATGAAACTACTTATGCTAGCTTTCCTAATTAAAAATGAGCTTCATTATCAAAAACTGCCAATTGGGGAAAAAGTTAGACAAATGAAGAAAAGGATTAAATATAGACTTGTTCAATGCATCTGTCTATGGCTGCAATCCTAAACTCACTTAGGAAGGGAAAAATCCCACAAGACACAGTGGCATTTACTTACTTCTGTAGTAGCAGGTTCATCTCCCCCTCACCCTAGTTTAATTTAGAGCTATGGTGTGGAAGGAATGCAGATTTACTCCTCCCTCTTCACCTTCCCTCTAGAAGCCACACAACCACCTGATACTGGCTCCAAGCAGAAAGCATATGAGCATGTATAAATCTCCCAATGCCATTGTCCCAGCATGTATCCTTCTCCCATCCTCTCCCTGATGCCCCATGGTTGTAAAAGTTCTAAAGAGACAGTGATGTATTTACATGCAGGTTTTGGATCACACTGCTTGAAACCTTCTCAATGTTACCAGATTTTATTGCCTTACTACCTTCTCTTGGATAATCCAGTATCACACATTGGAAGGAACATTAGACTTGCAGTGTTTTTTTATTACATCTGCAGAGTTTGATCAGTTATTTGTTTGGATAACCTTTTGACAGGACAACCTTGTGCAGGCTGGTTAGAAGTATGCCAGACTAAAGACTAGATAAAATTGATGAGTTAGACCTATGCATGGTCATATTTAGAGTAGATGCAC